CCTTAAATTTTCCTCTTTGCAGGTCTATTCTTCGGACGTATGCTCATGATGATGTAAGTGCAGGGTCATGGTTTATTGGGCTTGATGTGAAGCATGTTGATGAGGGGAAGCTTTGCTGCTCGTCCTGGTCAACAGGTACGTCTTCTTTTTTTTTTTTTGCACACACAAAAGGATTCAACCATGGTTGCCCTTATGTGTGTCCACACATGCATTTGTGCAAAAGCTAGTTGCATTGCTAAGGTGATTGATTGGTTAAAGACAGCGAAACAATTGTACATATGCATCCATCCCTTCTCATTGTTGTCCTCTTTTCGTGTTATGGACTGATGCTATTCAGCATATGATGCCATCAATAATTGATTGTTCTGGTCAAGCACTTATTATGTCTGAACCAGACCAACTTCTGTTAATTTGCAATTTGGGTGCATCATGTTCATAAAATCTTTCTCTTATGTGTCAGGTTCGATATGTGCAGCTGTCTGATGTGACTAACGTGATTTATTTCATCACCATTGATATACATATATAGTGAGGCCATTGTTTTCCTGCATCATCCGGGATGCTGTTTTGGTATGAACTCAGAGCTTAAGCATTATTTCCTGGACAATGATCTGGAGTGTGGAATCGCCAAATTGTTGACATCAGAGTTTTCAGTCAGAATTGATTCCTTAATTCAATCCTCGTTCTTCCAAGTTCCAACAGCTGTAGATGCAAGCAACATACTCATCATTTTTAAAAATTCAGGCACAAAAGTTTTTCCTGCCAGTGATGTACATAGCTTCATTCTTAAATTTGATTGACAAATTTTCAATTTTTCAGACAAAAAATGAAGAGTTTTCTCAGCAGTTTTTGTTTGCAGAGTCAAGAATTTCAGATTATTGATAAGAAATTGGCTCTCATACTCTCATCATGTGAAAGACATTAACAAGAAGGTAGTAGTTGTTTTGCAATAGAAAAAGCATTTACCCAATTTGTTTTGTCATTTGGATGAACTTGACATCTTTCTCATTCCTTGCTGTACAAGCAATTGCATTTCAATGATTTGTGTTATGGTGCCATGTGACAGCTAAAAAAGTCCAGTCTTAGATCTAATGGACTCAAAACAGACATGGGGGCTTTTCTTTTTGGAATAGTATCGGGTATCATTAATTGGGTGTGAAAAATGTTCACTACCCTGAAACGAGAACCAATTAACAAAGGTGTCAAGGCAAACAGAGATTTGACTGGTATATCCCTGTTTTTCAAAATACCCGTATTAAAACTCATTCCCCTAACCACCAGGGACAACTCCCTGTACAAAAGAACACCCAAACTCCTAAAGACAGAAAACGGGGTGGGCAATCCCAACAAATTGTACTCAAACACCCCTTCAAACAGGGCAAGTGAGACCAGGATAATATTCCCAGAC